GATTATGTAGATTAAAATGGTGATCAATCATTTAACCATAAGATTAATAAAATTTGTAAAGATTGAGTAATAAAAATACTTATAAATGTTAATAAACCAAAATGATTATCATTTTGGTTCTATTCGGATTCATCCGAACTTGAAATCAAACTCCGTTTTTTCCTATGTGTAGCCAATGAGTCCATCTACATAACAATGATTGTCCGATTCGTGTCATTCTCTCACGATGCCTCCGACCTGCACACGAAAAACAAGAAGAAAAACGGGAAAAACACACGAAAAACACAAAGGAAACCAAAATAAAGGAAAACACAGAATAAACTATAAAACGAAATAAAAACCAACTAAAAGACATAAAAAGGGGGAAAAATGATAAAACAATAACGAAAATCGCAACAAAAATAGTCACAACAACAGGGGCCGCGTCGGAGTAGTCGGCGATGACCGGCTAACGGCGGCGACGGGCTAAGACTTCAGCGTGGCTCATCTCGACGAACGGCGGACGGTGCACATGGTGTTCTTGCCGACAGAGCAGATGGAGGCCGATTGCATCTCGAAATCATACGGCGTACTGGATGCCGATTTCACAGCCTTGAAACGGTAGTGCCGGTGGCGGTTTTCCGTCGGAAACATCGTGCTCGCTGCCGTCTCTGGTGCGCGGACGGCGGAGGCGCGACGGATGGGGACCTGCAATTGTCCCTGGCGGGGTTGTTGGCGGCGGTGGGCGTGAACGACGTGGTTACGACAGGGATGGCGTCGCATCATCTGAATCGGAAAGCTCGTGTCGCCGGCGGTTATGCTGGTCAGCTGACGGCGATGGCGGGGCTGCTGCCGGCAGGGAGGGGTGGTGTGTGTGTGTGTAATTTCTGAGTGTGTGTGATTTTTGTGTGTGGTGAGAAATAATGAGTTTTAATTTATTGTGGTAGGCCCCACGTTTTTTGGGGTGTACAAAATTACACAATTACCCTTAGATGTGTAAATTTAACCAATTAATGTTAAGTTATTTACCATATTGCCATTAATGATTGACCATTGTTTATTAAAATTTGACTTGATCATAGTCATTGATGTGATAGATCCAATGGTTTAGATTTATTCTTATTTATTTCATTGTGATTCATTCTCATTTGGGCGCATTTCAATATTTCAATAATAATCCATCAAAGAATATATTTTTCCCATAAGAAAAACTTTAGACACAAATTATGCCTTGTGCATTAATTATTCAATTCCTTCAAAATATCATATATTTATCATAATCATAATTAATAAAGTATTAAAAAAAGACTAACTCACGACTATATATTTGTTAGATGACTTCTAATTAGTAATTTAATATAGTCGCATTAAAAAGGCTAACTCTGGTGACGGTCAAAAGGCATCCTGCTAATTTCGGCGCGATTGACTGCCTCTTGTGCTCTATTTAAGCTCAAACTCGCCTCCGTCTCTTTGGCCATCAACATCGGATACACATAAAATTAGCAATTATATATACAATGAAAGTAATGAAAGCATCTCCGCTACTTGTAGCGGCAGTAGTCGTGGCCGCAGCCCTGTTCCTGAACACGGCTGCTTATCCACCGTTGTCCCCTCCTCCCAATCCCAATACCTACAAAAACTTTGTCCGTGCCCAATGCAACGACACAAAGGTACAATATCATGCCCTCTGCTATCAGACGCTGGCTCCCTGCGCCAACTCCATACACGGAAACCTCGGCAAACTCACCCACCAAGCCCTCAAAATCTCATCAGCCCGTGTTCAGGCCATGGCGTCATGCATCTCTGGCCAGAAAAGGACGGCATATGGCGAGGACAACAACATCACTAAGGCTTTGGGTGACTGCAACACCACTCTGGCGGCTGCGCAGTCCTACATACAGCAATCGCTGCAGCAGATGGAGTCTCCGGCGCCGCCCAAGCAAGGGGGAATTGTGGGCGCAAATGTGGAAACGTGGGTGAGTGCGGCCATCACATACGAGGAAACCTGTCTCGACAGCCTCAAGCAATACTCGACCAACGCTACTTCTGGTGCGTGGCAGACCTGCAATTCCAAGTACTTGGTCGAGAACGTCACCAGCAATGCACTCGCCTTTCTTAATAAATACTATGCTCCTCCTCCTCCTCCTCACCATCCTCCACCTCCTCCTCACCACCCTCCTCCTCCTCCTCACCATCCTCCACCTCCTCCTCACCATCCTCCTCCTCCTCCACCACCTCCTCCTCCTCCTAAGTATTAAATATTATCATATATTTGCAGAAACAAAAACAGAAAAAAATGCCATTTTTGTTTTTTTTTCATGTTTGTTTCTGCTCACACAGGTTTTAATTTGGTAATTATAGAGTTGAATTAAGGGGAAAAGGTAATGATGTGGCTGAAAAAAAATGTTGTGGTGGCTATTAGTTTTGCTTGTTTGTGATTTCAAGTTATTCAGTCAGTGCCATTTTTTGTTACATTTGAAGTTCGACACTTTGATGGGGTTAATTAATTGCCAAGTTAATGTTAAATATAATGAATACCGTTTTGGGTTGATGTCAATGGAGACTGAGTTCAGTCCAATAATTCAAAGGAGATTAGAATTTGCGCATATATATAATATAAAAAAGAATGCAAGTTCATATAAATACGTGAAAGTCTAACAATTAAAAAGAGCTTTGCCCCTTGTGGTCCTACCCGGCTCGGTTCCGG